AGGCAGACGCTTAACGACTGAGCCACCCAGGCACCCCTACACTGTATGTTAACTAACTAGAATTTAAATACAAATTTGGAAGAAAAAATAATAATAAAAAGAAAAAAGAAAAAAAAAAAAGAAAATGTATCCTAAAGTAGTAGCTAAAAAGACTTTGTCCAGACATCAGAGCCAGGAGGTGGCAGGTGGACAGAACCACTGTTTCTAAGTCCTGAAGGACTTCTGTCAAAGGCAGAAGGGACACTCCAGTTTGAAGTCACCCCAGCAGGTAGAACAAGGCCCCGTGGCTAAGTAGCTAGACGGAGAGGCACCCAGGCTCAATTCCCAAAAAAAAAAGGCCTAACAGTCAGAACTAACCAAAGACGGGACAGTCATGCCATGGATATAGCAAGTTCCTCAACACCGGAAGCATGCAAGTAGGAACCAAATGGCCCCTTGGTGGTGATTCTGTAGAAGAAAAGCATCAGACTGGGAGAGGTCCATGAACAAAGGCTGGGTGGCCGGCTCTCAGGGACACGGCCAGAGATCTCGCCTCAGTAGGGAGTTCAGGGCAATCTACCTCTTCCCTCTCCCACTTCTCATGTACTGTCATTCTAATTGTGCCCGTCCCTGAATTGCTTAGCCATTTTGTAATTCCAGAGGCCTGTATTGACTCATCTATCACAATCAGAGCTAAAATTGCCGTGGGGTCATAGAATCTTAGTGACTTAAGAATAATCCATTTGAAATTTAAGAAACAAAACAGATGAACAAAGAAAGAGGAAAAGGGGCAATCAAAGTAAAAAAAAAAAAAAGAAAGAAAGAAAGAAAAGCCCAGACTCTTAAATTCAGAGAACAAATATGGTTGTCAGGTGGGGGGGCAGGGGGGAGGGTAAAATAAAGTGGATCAAGAATACATTTATCTTGGTGAGCCCGAGAAATGTATGGAATTGTTGAAGCATTATATTGTACACCTGAACCTAAGATAACACTGTATGTAAACTATACTTGAATAAAAAATCCATTTGAACCTTTCCATTTTAGAGATGAGAAAATTAAGGATCAGAGAGGCTAAGCGATGTACTCAAGATCACACAGTATCTCACGGCGGAGGCAGGACTAGGCTTAGGACTCCTAATAACAGGGCAGGATCTGTTCCAACTTGTCCTGCTGACGTTTCCCTGGGCTTCAGCCCTAAGAAGCCCTAAGTACCAGAAGCAGCAGGGCAGAGGCCTATCATCTGTCCTCTGTCCTGGCAAATGGCTCTCCATAGCAGTGATTATTCATGTTGGTTTTGGTAAAATCTCTATAATGAATCATTTTTGCGAAAAAACAAACAATGCTTTCTGGAATCTGTTACTGTTTGTGGCTTTAGTGAAGTCTTTAAGTTTTAGGGTCTCCTCAACAAGTACACAGACCTTTGGTGTAATTTTTTGCTCCTGTCTCTGTCTCTCCGCCCCCCCCACCCCCCCATCGCCTGTCTCCTGCTTTTCCTGCTCCCCTCTTCTTTCCATCCCTCCCCTCCCAAACAGCTTTGACCTGGTCACAAACGGCGGCATCTCCATCATCCTCCGGTTCGAGCGGGCACCTTTCATCACACAGGAGCACACCCTCTGGCTGCCTTGGGATCGCTTCTTTGTCATGGAGACCATCATCATGCGCCACGAAGAGAATGAGATTCCCAGCTGTGACCTGAGCAACTTCGCCCGCCCCAACCCTGTCGTGTCCCCATCCCCACTGACGTCCTTCGCCAGGTCCTGTGCAGAGAAAGGCCCCATCGTTCCAGAAATTCAGGTACCCAGCCTTCTTAACTGTATTTCTCCATGCTTTTGTTCCATTGGTGGGGAGGAGAGTCTCAGAGCCGGGGGGTGGTTTGCAGAGATCCCATCAGCGCACCCTGCAGAATCCAGCTGCCAGGCCTCACAGCACCCTCTTACACACTTAAAACACACCAGCACCTGAAGGTGCCTGGCACACTCCAGCACAGAGTGAATTCCTGCTCCCTTTCGTCCTCCATCCAGTTCCCTTCCACTTTCCTCCACCCCGCCCCCGCCTCCAATGTCCCCCTCTATTGTAAAAAATATTTATGATTATTTTTTATGATATTATGATGATAGGGTCTCCCTAAAGGAGTAGGACAGAGGAGCATCATAAGAAAGAGTAAATGAGAAAATGTATATGAGGTGCTTAACACAATGTGTAGCGCTTAGTAAGTGCTCAATAAATTTTAGCCAGTATTATTATTATTAACATTATTTTACACACACCGCCTTCATGCCAGTCAAGGATTGCTTTGGCTCAAGTCTACATGCAGCGCTTTACTTAATTATCATTAAAAGGAAGTAATTTGGGAAAAGATGCATTTTAATTGAATGGAAATCAAGCTAGATTCTTTGCCTAACAGAGCTGTGCAGAGTTAAATATCTCCCGCCATCCCAGCCCAATTTCTCATGGCGGGAACAAATGCCAGGGGAAGAGGAGAGACAGCAGGGAGAGGCCCCAGCCTGGCTCGCTTGCCCAACCAGAGCTCAGGCCGTGTGCGTGTTAATGGGTTGCTGATGCCCACGGAGCAGGGAGCATAGACACTTTTGTGTGTATGTTCCATGCCTGGCCCAGCAGACACATCTCTGTGAGTGGCTTCAGGCACCAGCCCACAAGAAGGACATACGACCATTTTGAAATTCTCGTTGCACCCACAAGTTGAAACCCTCACTCCTTTTCAGAGATGCAGTGCTTGTCTCCTGTCTCAACTACCAGGCTGACCTTTCCTTTGAAATGGTTATCAGTGAAGACAGAGCTTGCTGGAGAGAAGTAATTTGTTACTCAACCCTGGTTCAGCTCCAGCTAGACATTTTCCCAGGAGCAGGGACTTTGGAACAAATGAGGATAAAGGTCTGACCCTCTTCACAGTGCTCCCTGGGCTGGGTGTCTGCAAGCCCAGCTGGGTCACAAACCTTGCTTATTATCAGATTCATGAAACACAAGAAAATAAGCTCCTGGGTTTTCCCAGTCCTATCATTGGCTGGCCTTCGCAAGCACTACGAGATGTACATTTTAAAGGGTATGTTGAGGGTAAATACATATTTATGAGAGCATCAGGATGGCACCCGAACCCTACCTGTGGTTCACCGGGGTGCAGAGCCTGCTTTGCCTAGAACTTGCAAGCCGCTTTTTAGAAAGATTGCTTTGCTTTAGGCCCAAGCCCTAAAATTTCATGTGTTCAGAATGGGGTGGGGAGAGAGTTCACATCCATCTATGATACAAAATGGACAGAAAGGAAAAAGCTTTCTTTGGGAAGGCCCAGTTTCTCCATGAACACAAGAATAGAATGATTCTTTTGTCCTTTTAATGGATGCGTTAGCCTCAATTGATTTAACGTCCCCTTCTTGAAACAGAGCCCAGAGCATCAAGCTGATAAAAGTTCTCTGCTCTTGCCATGTGCCTGAGCATCCTGGCGTTGATTTTCAAGTTTCCATCTTGGAACTGAGCCCACTGCACCCAGTAGATCAAGTGCCGCCTTCCCCACCATTCTGTTCATCTAGCACTTCGGTGAACCGGGGCACGGAAACTCCATGCCGCCAATTCGACCTCTTTCCGTGGTGAGCTGGGGGGGGCTTCGGCCACAGGTCCTCGGCAGGCTGTGCTCTCAACCCTGCATAATTGTTTGGCCAACCGCTCACGGTCTGTTTACTGTCCTGAAGAGGACAGCCATTGGAGGCTCTCACTTTAGGGAAGTTTTGAGGGAGACACTATCCTTCCTGCTGAGGCAGCTGTCCGCATTAGTCTGAGGGAAAGGTCTTTCTTCCTATTCTCTCCAGTCCCAGGACCAGCACCAGCAACAGCACCATCGTCCCGCTTACTGAGCCCCTGTTATGAGCTGGGCACTTTCTGTATGTGACCCTACTCCGTCCTCACACCAGTGAAAAGGAGAGGAAACTGAGATTCAACAGCTTACATGAGTTTCTCGGATGACATCCCCAGTGAGTGAGAGGCACCATGACGATAAATATTTTACACGCATTATCCGACGTGTTCCTCTCAGTAGTGCAACAGGGTGAGCGTCCTCATCCCCGCTGAATGGGGGAGAACCCGAGGCTCACTGAGGCAGGGTTGTACCACACAGAGTTGGCCTTGGAAACCAGGCCTTCCACCTCTTGGTTCCCTCCTCCTCCTGCACCTCTTCACACTCTGCCTCCCCCTCTTCCTTCTCCTCTCTTTTCTAGTTCCTGCTCCTCCTCTCCCCTCAGGCCCCCCTCTCTGCTTCCTCCTCTGCCTCTTGGTCACCCAGAGTGCAGGCGCCTGACATCTCCCCTCCTCCCGTGAGTCCCTGACCATCACTTGCTGTGTAATCTGTTTCTCTAGGCTTTGCAGGAGGAAATCGCTATCTCTGGCAGCAAGATGAGGCTGAGCTACCTGAGCAGCCGTACCCCTGGCTACAAGTCTGTCCTGAGGATCAGCCTCACCCACCCTACCATCCCCTTCAACCTCATGAAGGTGCACCTCATGGTGGCCGTTGAGGGCCGCCTCTTCAGGAAGTGGTTTGCTGCAGCCCCGGACTTGTCCTATTATTTCATATGGGACAAGACAGACGTCTACAACCAGAAGGTGTTTGGGCTCTCAGAAGCCTTTGGTAAGCATCTCAGCTGCAGGACTCAAGGCCATCCTCAGAGAGACAGTAGCACTTGGGGGGACGGGGCTCTTTCTCCATCTCCCTTGTTTCTTCTTCCTCCCTTCCTCTTCTCAGAAGTACCAACAGCTTAGTTGGCCTCCAAGTCTGTTCAGGGACCATCCATGACCTCAAAGAATGCACTCAAAGACCTGAATGTAAAAAAGTTGATCATTTAAAAAAAGGGGCTCACAAAACCAAAAGGGCCCTTGCAAAGCACTGTAGTGGTATGTGATGGATGAAAAGAGGCTTTGTGCCACAAAGATAGAGCTGTGTGGGCATTGACCTGGCCCCTCACAACCATCTGGCCCCAACGCACCCATTAAAAATGTGCGAGTCTGGAGCTCCTGGGTTTCCTCAGTTGTTTGAGATGCAGGAGCTAAGATTCTTTCTTCATCAGAAGGGCTTATTTGTCTCTTTAGGTCATTTGCAGTCAGAGAGGTTCTCTCCTTGTTGCTGTCTATTTTTATGAAGCAGAAGGTGACTGTGGCCTCACGTGGGTCCCAGCCCCACTGAGACGTGGGCCTTCAGGGGCAGGCTGTGCTCATTCCAGCTTCCGTATAGAGCAGTGTCCCAGGAAGGGTTCAGAGCTGGACTGCTGGCAGACCTACCCCCTGCAGGGCTAGTCCCCCCCGCCAAGCATGGAGAGGATTAGCCCAGGGAATTCCTTCTCATCTTGAACCCTGCTCCAATTTCATACCCTTGCTAGATTCAGCAAAGGCAGAATGAGGAAGCAGAGGAGAAATCATGCTGTAAAAAGAAAGAGAAGAAGGGAGGGAAGGCAGGCAGGTAGTCATGAAGAGAATGTCTGCAAGAGGAAGCAGAGAGGTGAGGGGGCTCCCCAAGGACGGATGAGGAAGGAACAGAGCTGGACTCACTGCAGACCTCCCCTAGTTGGGCATCCCACCCTACCTCGCAAGGGCATGTTGGGAGCAAAGATGCCTTCTCTCTGTTCACTCTCCCTTCTGCAACTCAAACTACTTCTGGGGTCTCTTCAAGAACAATGAAACCTCACAACCTCTTCGGGTGAAATGAGTATCCTTCGTGTCCACCAGCCGGGGAAAAAGGGAAGCGTCTGCACAGTGGGACTTCCAAGGGCAGAGGCTCACTTTCCTGAGCTGACAGGTGACCAGGAGGAGGCGGAGAGGCTGCTAGCACGACTCAGCATGACTCCTGGTTACAGGGAAGATGCCCCTGTGGGCATTCCCCTCCTGCCGTATTTGGCCAGCAACCCTTGATGGCACCTAGGGCAACTTTTTCAGAAGCTGCCCAGTGGTTAATTCCTGCCTTGAACATGTGATAAGATATTGCCCACTTGGCGAATAGTGTCTGCACAGGAGGATACTTGAAAGAAATGGCATTCCTGTCTCTGCTAGATCCTTTCCATAGGACAGTTACAGGCTTTTTTACAAACCCAGCCTTGGGACGCCTGCCCTGGTTAGCCTGCATCCTGGTGCCCTTCCAAGGAGGCCTGGATTTATGAAACAGAAGTGAAACCAGGGGATTTTCAAGCTTTAAGACCTCAAAGCAACTTCCAGCTTTCAAAGTACCTCACTGGGCTCCTTTTCCATGTATTCATTATAAACAATATTGAATTTTTTTTCTCTAGTAAAGTAGTATCATTATCATTCATAAAAATTTGATAAGTGGACGAAAAATATAAATTCATATATGTTTCTATAAATAATACCACTACTTGTTAACATTTAAATTTATTTTCTTCCTTTGTGTATAGTTATTTTGTGTGTGTGTGTAGATTTTTTTAAGCACAGATATAATACTGTATATAACCAGTCTTTCCAACTTAGCATTATTCCATAAACATTTTCTGTGTCACCCCATTATCTTCATAATCAAAATATGCAGTGGTGGCATAATATTCCTCAAGTGGGTACATTCTGATGGGCTCAACCTCTAGGCCCTTTTGAACTTTTAGATTACTTCCAATTTGCACTATTATAAATAATGCTGCAGTGAAGATTTTTGTGCCTAAAGTATTTTCCATACTAGAGGATCAGGTCCCGGGAATCAATTCACCTGGGTCCTTTTTAAGGTGGTTAGTGGATTTCCTTTAACTTTTCCTAATAATGCACAATTGCTCTTTGAAAAGAGGATATTCAGGCTCGGCATCTCTGTGTTAGTACTGCACATACATCTGGTTCCCACTGAGAAATAGGATCCTTTCTCCTTTCCTACAAAAGACAAGCCAGAGCCTTGCATGCAGATCGAAGCCAAAGCAGAGGCTTTGCTCACCTGTGCATTTTGTACCTTTTGTTTTCTACAGTTTCTGTGGGCTATGAGTATGAATCCTGCCCAGATCTGATCCTCTGGGAAAAAAGAACAGCTGTGCTGCAGGGCTATGAAATCGATGCTTCCAAGCTGGGAGGATGGAACCTGGACAAACATCACGCCCTCAACATCCAAAGTGGTGAGTGCGTGAATAGAATTCCAGCAGCCAGGCCACGGGTGTGACCCTGGTCTCATATCCTTTGTGCCCTGCCAGATAAAAAAAAAAATGCACACTTCAAATTACAGGGGCTCATGTGTGATCAGTCGTCCGAAGGATTAGTCAACAGAGATGTTCCTTGGGAGCCTGCTCTGTGCTTGTCACCACTGTGCACTGGGGATACAGAAATGAAAGGCCTCAAGAGTTGACACTCTGGTGAGATACCAGACGCTTCCCAGGCAGTCTCCATGCTGTGCCATCCCACACAAAAGCACAGGACCCTGGGGCATGGAACGGGGGCACCTCAGCCTCTTGGTTAAGCAGGGTTCTCTCCAAAGAGAACCTCTGAACTAAGTCTCAAAAGGTCTGTAGGATTAGCCCTATATATCAAGTAGGGAGAACATTCTAGGCAGAAGGCACAGTATGTGCCAAACAAAGCACAAAAGCCTGAAAGAAGAGTAATTGGAGAGAAGGTTCGCTGTGGTTTGAGCAAAGGATGAAATGAAGGCAAGAGCAAAAGCCAAAGCTGGGGCTGGAGCAGCTGGAGCCCAGGCTGAGAAGATTAGGACTTTGAACTTCATCCAGAGGCAGATGTCAAGCCTGTGAAAGGTTCCAAGCATGCAAGTGCCACAGTCAGCTCTATATTTTAGATAGCTCACCTTGACTGTGGTCTGGGATGGGACAACTAAATACGGTAATGATGTCTCCCACCTCATCTGAAGGTGCAGTGAATGCCTATCAAAACCGCCACATGGTTTAAGGAAAAACCGACAAACTGATTCTAGAATTTATGATAGCATGAAGATTTGTCAATAGCTAAGGTAGCCTTTAAAATAAGAAGAAGAAAGAGGCACTGCCCGATATTCAGCTATCCTAGAAAAACCACAGTCTCCAATACTGTGCTGGTGCTGGTACCGGAGCAGATAAATGGACTCTAGGGGACAGAGCAAGGCATTCAGAAGCTGACCTGTAAGTAGTCAGGAGAACAAGTTTCAGCTAAGCACGTCAGAAAAGCCAAAATAACAGAATTCCAAATGAGTTAAAAGTTTGTTTCTCATTCAGCTCCGAGTCTGGAAGGAGAGAGCCCAGGGCTGGCTTGGCACTCTGCGGGGTCAGAGGTCCGGGCTCCTCCCATCCCATTGCTCTGCTCGTGCCTCCAAACCCAAGGTGATGGTTCAGGGTGACTGCTTAATTCTGGCCTTCCTATTCATGTCCCAGCCGGCAAGGAGTAGAAAGGCTGAGGGCAAGCCCTTTCCAAGCCCTTCCCACCTCCCAGCAGCTGCCCACCCCACTTCTTCTTCCACACCACTGGTCACCCGCCAAGTGTAGGCAGCCCTAGATCGTCCTGTGCCCGGCCAGACAGCAGGGCTTCTGTAGCTGCAGAATAAGGATGGGGACAGGATGGATCTCTGTGGATGACCACGCCATGCATACATAGGAACTGGTCCATGACAGGGGTAGCCTCAGGTATCAGTGGAGGATGGATAGTTATGGTAGAAATTGGCATTGGGAAAACTGGCTCAACGGGTGGAGAAAAGTAAAATTAAGTTCATACTAAATACAAAATAAATAAGGTTAATTAAAGATCTAAATTTGAAAGATAACACTTTAAAACTAATTGAAGAAAACATCAGAGAATATCTTTATGATCTCAGAGAAGGATTCCCTAAAACCAAAAAGAGCACAAATGTTACAGTAGCAAAATGATTAATTAGACTATGTAAGAATGAAAGATACCTGTTTAATAAAGGACACAGCTAATAGGTGACAGCCTGGGAGAAGATTCTGGTGACCATAAACCCAAAACTCAGGCTTCAGTATGGAAGAGGTGAGGTCGGAGGCAGGGAGTCCAGTTTGGAGGCTGTGGCAGTGATATGGGAGACAAAGGTGAGCTGGGCCTAAAAAGAAACAGTGGGGGTATGGGATGAAGCCTGCAAGTCACTGAGCTCAGTCCCTTCATTCTGCTGGTAAGGAAACTGAGGCCCAAGAGCAGGTAAAGCAGTGGGGAGTCCTATGCAACATCTGGGATCAGTCCATTAGGAGCAAAACCAGGTAAAAACCCAGGTCTCTTGACTCTACCCTGGTGAGAGGAGACTGAACTTCACTCATACGTTTCTATAAACATTCATTGGGATCTACTCTGTGTCCAGTTCTGCGCTAGGCACTGGGGGTACAGAAAGGGAGAAGACATGTTTCCACACTTGAAATGGTATCAATCTAAAGAGACAAAAATGCACGCTGTGATAGAGACAGGGACTAGACGTGTACTATCTGAGAAGCAATAAATGATTCAGGGCCTGGGCTCAGGAGCGCTTCTGCTACCACCTGTGTGACCTCAGGTGAGCCACTAGCCTGTCCTTCCCCCACCCCCCGCCCTCTCCGCACCCCCCGCCCCGTTAATACAGAGGGATGATAGGACGCATCTTAGAGTCGTGAGCGTTTAATCAGAAAGGCAGGATGGCCTGTTCGGGATATTCTGGGTGTTATGATGGGGGTGCGGCAGCCCTGGGGTGTGAGTCTAGAAATGGTAGGCAGAGATCTTGCATTCCTTGCAAAATCAAGGGGACTCTGTGGTTGGCCACAGAAGAGGGCCATTTCCTGCTCCATTGGTGATTCTGCCTTTTTGTCCTTATCCCAGGCATCTTGCACAAAGGGAATGGGGAGAACCAGTTTGTGTCTCAGCAGCCACCTGTCATCGGGAGCATCATGGGCAATGGGCGCCGGAGAAGCATCTCCTGCCCCAGCTGCAATGGCCTTGCTGATGGCAATAAGCTCCTGGCCCCTGTGGCCCTCACGTGTGGCTCCGACGGGAGCCTCTATGTGGGAGACTTCAACTACATCCGAAGGATCTTCCCCTCTGGGAACGTCACCAACATCCTGGAGTTGAGGTATGTAAGGTGATGCCCTCCTCACACTTCTAACAGCGTCCCTTGGCCATCCCGTGGGCCCACCTGGCATTACCTACTGCACCCAGAAGAGGGGATAGACAGAGCCTCACCTGTCAGAGTCCATCTGGGACTTTTCACTTCCCGGCTCAGGGGCTGAACTATAAACTGGGGAAGCAGGTGCTGTTTTCCACAGAGCACTGCAATGAAGACAGACCACTTGTGGGACAGGGGGATATCCTTGGCACCCAGAAGATGTAAAGGTCTGCTACCAACCATGAATTAGACTCTGGAAGCCCTTGAATTTCTTCCTGTTTCCTGGCACCAAACAGATTGGAATTAGTCCCATGAGTCTTCTTAGAAGGACAAGGACAGCAGGGTGGACACAGCCCCCAGGCAAGTGTTGCCAGGTGTGGCCCTGTTACTAAACACTCATCCGAGTTAGGAAGAGTTCTCTTCAGATAAAGGCCCACGAGCTGAAATCAGGCCATGCCTCTCGGCCCCTAACGTGCTGCAGAGCCAACCAACTCAGCCTTTTCTTTCTCCCCATCCCAACCACGCCTGATGGAGCACAGCCACACCTAGAGCTCAGGGAAGGGCCTGATGGGTTGCATTTTCTCTAGGCCTCCCTAAAGCAGGTCTTTTTAGAGCCAAAGCATTGTCATAGGGTGGGTTCTAGGGTTACAGAGAAGCTGCGATTAAAGACAGGGGAGCACCACGCTCCCTTTCAGGAGAAATGGCACCAAGTTCCTCAGAACTGCTTTAGGGAAGGGGATCTGCCCGTCTCCTGGACTGGGATCCATGTGAACAGCACAGGCCTGTGAGCTGGAAAGCCTTCCTCCAAAATGGCCAGGGATGTGGAAACTCACTTTTGTGAGGTCCCAACTATTTGCCCGGTACAACAGTCCTGCAAGATACTTATCATGATTGCCCTTGACAAGCAAGAAAAAGGAGACTTGGGGAATTTAAAGAATCTGCCCAAAGTCCAGCTTCTAGAATGGCAGACCCAAACCCAGAAGGCCATCCATCACACAGCTTCTGCCTCACTAAAGAATTGTCACCTGACCCAAGGAGGGCCACTTTGGCTTTAATGCCACGTTAAATTATTTCCTGGAGGTCTGGAGGTAATTGCCTGCTGACAATTTCACTCTGCAGGATGCATGTGTAAGGAAGGGAAAGCTTGCTGGCTGACCACAGTTGTGGCAGCCCTCAGGAGGAAAGGGTTCATACTCTATCTCTAGCTCTAGCTCTAGCTCTATCTCTAGCTCTATCTCTATCTCTGTCTCTATCTCTATCTCTCTCTCACACACACACACACACACACACACGCGGACAAGTGAAGCAGAGGGTCTTTGGCCACGAGAAGAATCAGAAGTTCAAATTCTCTGGACTCCTAGATGAGATATCAGGCCAATGAGAACCACTGGTTATTCTCTGCCTTTTTCTCTCTTTTATGAATTTCACTGCCACAGACATCTGTTTGCTCCAGTCAACTGCTCACATCGTCTTCCTGTCTCCTAGAGTACAATGGTAAGAGCCATCGACTAAGGAGTCAGGCCACCTTAGCAGAGAAGCTGAACAACTTTGGGCAAGACATTTACCCTCTCTGGGCCCCCATTTTCACATCTTCAAATAAGACATCCCATTTTCCCTGCCTCCCTCCCACATTTGAGGGGAGATCATGGAAGACAATAGGCAAGGAAGGGAGGAGTTAATGAAATCTGGAAAGAAAAATAAGTTTATCAATATGTTATCATCTTAATATATTTTCTTCCCGGCCTGTTTCCCTGTTGACCCCCTCCCTTCTAAGTATAGTGTGTCTCCAATTCTGTATTCCGTTATGAGGAGGAGGATCGCAGGGGCTTCGCGAGTTTTGAGTGCTCTCTGTAGGGCCGCGTGCACGGGGACAGAGACACAGCAGTGAGCGGGCGTATCTCTGGGCACGTGTCTGTGCACGGGGGAGGGAATCAGATGTTCCAGCCTCTGTCTTAGCCCTGGTGAGGGCAGCGGCTTGTCAGCCTCCTCCTCTTCCCGTGAACTCAGAGGTAGTGGTGCCGGAGAAACCGTGCCTCTTCCGTGATATGTAGCTGCTTGTAAGTGAGCTCACTGACAAGTAATATCCAATATAAAATAAATCAGTATCATAGCTGCTAAGTCTTTATTTATTATAGTATTGTACAGTACCATTGCTGTCAAGTTTTCAGGCTGCTAATAATGCTTCTAACCCCGCTGCTAACACCTCATTCTTTCTTCTATTCCCTGCTCTCCTGTCTTCTGTCAGAAATAAAGATTTCAGACATAGGTAAGCCAACCAGTGGAGAATTTCCCGTCTCTCCTCTGCCTTGTTGCATGTTGTATGGTAAGCTGCACGTGTCAATTTCAGCTGGCTCAATAGCAAATGAGTCCTGTGCGTTTGGAACTGATTGGGGGTAATCAGTTACCGTGAGAGGAAGTCATTAATAATGCTGGGGGCGGGTGGCAACAGCCTGCACTCCTTTCATCTCTAGCGAAGTGCGGCAGCTACTCTGGTCATCTGTGGACATGACAGACTGAAATAATAGGGGAAAGAATTTTAACCTTGGCATAGTAATTTGAACACCAGTCTGCTTCTCCTTGGGATAAATGAGGACATCATCCTAACTGTGTTGAGTGGCTTCGATGGTCACAGTGTCCCCACTGTCTTGAGAACATCTCGATCAGGCGAAGAACCTGGAAGAAGACAGGTTTCAGATTTGCACTTCTGTGGGCATTCTGGATGCCTTGGCTTTGGTGGTTGGGACACCAGGTGACCCCACCAGAAAGTTGGCCAGCAAGGACAGAGCGGGGGAGGATTTTCCAGACCATATGGACCACCCAAAAGAGTGGTCCCCAAATAGGAGCTTTGTCACAGGGTAGATTTGTCATGGAGGCTCACTATGACACTGCAGCAGGCAGAGAGGGCCTCATCAGATGCACCCAGAGGATTGTCTGCCCATCAGCACTGCTGTCTTTGTGGCACTAGTCTGACTCCCGGGGAACAGTCGCCTCACACACATTTGGATGACTTGAAAGTAGCTGTGGGCAGATGGAGCTGGGGCTGCCACAGAGGTGGCTCTCAGTTATCCACATGTGGCTCCCATCAAACTGGGACATGGGGTAAGTGCTAAGTTGGGATCAAAGAAAATCTTAGGACAGTGGAAGGAGTTAGACAGACCCAAATCCAGTAATGTTTATATCCACACCTATGTAATTAGATACAGTATTAATGTAACAATCATATATATTACTTTTTTTAAGATTTTATTTATTAGAAAGAGAGAGCACGAGCGGTGGGGAGGGGCAGAGAGAGAAGCAGACTCCCCGCTAAATGCAGAGCCCGGAGCCCAACATGGGGCTCGATCCCAGGACCCTGGGATCATGACCTGAGCTGAAGTCAGACACTTAACCGACTGAGCCACCCAGGCGCCCCAATCATATATCTTGTTTTAAGGTTATAATAATTAACATGGATAGAGCATCTCATGTGTGGCAGAGAGAGCGTTCGGTGATTTTTATGGACTGTAGCAGTTCATCCCCAAACCACCCTGTGAGGTAGGCACTCTTGCAACACCCAGTTTACAGATGAGAAAGCTGAAGCTGTCCTGTTGTGTGACCTTGAAAAAAATCACTTCATCTTTCTAAGCTTTTGTTTCTGCCTGGAAGTTAACAAAGTCACTCTTGGAGGCTGTTTTACGGGTTACAGAGGTTGCTTGTAAAGTATATAGCATTGTGCCAGGCACAGAGGGGAGCTGCAGACATGGTTGTTGTTGTTGTTGTTGTTGTTATTATTATTATTATTATATGTATTATTACTATCATCATAACCATTATATGATGATGATGGCATCTCCATCTTCCCCAAAAAGGAATTTAGTCCTCTTATAACCAAAGACACATGTCTTAAAGTAAATTAAATAGAAATTGAGAACAAAGGAAAAAAGGAGGAAACACATATGTGATTGTATGTTAAACTAGCCCCTGAACTTCCTGGCAGCCAGAGTAAACAGGGAAACATAATTATTCTCATGGTTTGCATTATCAGAAATGGGAAAATATGCTCACTTCTCAGACGGGGAGTATTTTTTTCCTGACACTGAAATCTGTAAAGAATTTTCAGTGAGCTTCATATGGCTGATACTGAACTGTGAATTGATACATATCCCCAAGTTGGGTTTTAGAGAGAACACAGAAGTACGTTTCATATGAAGATTTGGGGTGAAAACCCAGCATTTCACATGAAAACCTTCAGTCAGTGGTGGTCACTGGCTGGGATGCAGCTGAGCTACAGGGGACAGAACTGGGAAGAATCAGGAGGCCAGGGCTCCTGTCCAGCTTTGTGGCACACTCTTCAGGTGCCTCTGGCTTGGTCACCCAGCATTTCCAGTTTCCAGTCTCATCATCTGTAAACCGTGAGAGTTGTGGTTTTGATGCCTTTTGTTTCTGATGTTTTGTGATCTTTTGATACATCCATGACACAATTTCAAAGCCAGCTTCCTGCCCTCCCTCAATTCATCGCTTTCTCAGGCGCCAAAAACTACTTCTGAAGTAAACCAAAGTGGAAGGAAAACAGGAATTTCTTTCTGCCTTCTCCAGTTTCCTAAAGAAAATCTGGAGTGAAAGACCCGGGTCCCAGCTCTGATTTTAACTGGCACTTGGATACTGGTAAATCCCTCCCTCTCTACAGGCCTTTGTGTCCCCATTCGTAAATGTCAGAAGTGGGTTAAAAATTCTAAAATGTCCTCTCTGCCCATGAGCATTTTCTGTCTCAGCTGTTCCCAGGAGTGGCGGTCCCCGTGTGTGCTCCCCAGGGCAGTCTTGTGCCTCTCTGTCCAGCCTCCATGCCAGCCTGCCACACAGGGCATACCCAATCCAGGGACCCCTTGGGCATCTTCCCTGGTGGACCCCTTCAGGGAACGAGGATCCTCATCTCCTCCTAGATCTCTTCCCCAGGGGCGTGGAGGAATGCTTGAGCCTGTTGTTCTGAAGCACATTTGAACTCAGGTCCCCATCGATCCCAGCTACACACATTAAGTTAACTCCAACAGAGAGCCCTTTACTGCCCCAGGAAATAGGCCTGGCAGGACAATATTAGGTCTGACATACTTGGCTTTCCCATTATGCAGTAACATAAATACTCTGAAGGTTTCTCCAGGCAACCAGCTGCCATTTATTGGGCATTTTTATTTCTTAATGGAACAGGCACTATGCTCAGCGATTTATATTCTTTATACAATGTTGTCCTCAAAATAGCCCTTTGAAGTAGTTGTGGTCATCCCCATTTCTCAGATGAAGAAATTAAGGCTCAGAGTAATGAAGTGATTTGCCCAAGGTCACCTACCAAGTGGATGGTAGAACCAGTATTTCAACCCCTGTCTTTGTGGCTCTTCCCACTGGTTCTAAGAACCAGTAAATCAAGTTCTACCAGGGCTGCCACCAAATGCAGCCAAAGGATGCTCGTTTGTAGACATTCCTCTGAGACAAAGGGAGAATTCTCACTCAGAAGCAGGGACTAGAGTGCCTCTGGTCCCTGGACTCCCAGCTCCTACCAGGAAATTCCCCACAGCATCCAGAAAGAGGGCAGAGTGAGGCTTGATTTCAGCTCATGAACTTCGGGAATGACACCCTCAGAGTCTCCAAGAGTGTCCGTAGCTTCCAGAGGTGCCAAGTTCATGTCAACGGAGGTAGAAAAGAATGTGGGTCCCTCGGTGGACTCTTGGAAACAGAGCTGTGACCCTCCCCTGTGCCCAGCCTGGCCCAAGATGCTAGAAATCAGAGCTGAATCTGGCACGGTCCCTGCTGCAGAGCTGGGCCTGGGGCTCCATCTCACGCAGGGATGGTTTTTAGAGTATTCCAAGGCCTTGCTCCTCGCAGTACAGATAGGCAGCCCTGGCATCCTCCAAAAACTTGTTAGAAATACAGGCTCTCAGGCCACACCCCAGAACTGCTGAACTGGAATCTGCATTTTAACACGATCTCCAGGTGATGCATCTGCCCATTAAAGTTTGAAGAGCACTGCTGTAAGGCCTCAGTTTCCAGATCTGGCTGTGCCTCGGAGTCACCTGGAGAGATCTTAAAGGTACAGATGCCCAGGCCCTTCAGATGTTGTCAGTGAGGCTTTTCTTTTCCTTTTTCTTTTTTTCTTTAAGCTTCTCTGGTGAATCTGATGTGTAACCATCACCGATAAGCACCATCACTGTAAGCTCCTTAGCATTAGTATTTCCTCTGTACACTCCCAGGGAGGCAAACAGTCATTCACTCGCTGATTCAGAAAGTCAGTAGACCTTTCTGGGATACTTACTCTGCACCAGCCCGGAGCTAAGCAGCAGGGCCTCGAAGCTGGTCCTTGCTCTTGAAGAGTTTAAGATGTCATTGAGGAGAAGACAACTAAACAGAAAAGTGTTAAGGTGCTACAGGTACTAAAATTATATTCTGTGGAGGGCCTAGTGATGCCACAGAGGAAGTGGCCAGTTAGCCAGTGGAGGAAAGCAGGGCCTGGGAATCCAGGGATGACAGTACAGATGAGATGATGCTGGAGCCGGGTCTCAGGACAGGGTCTGGTGCTCCCCGGTGGGTCAGGGCAGGGCCGTCTTCAAGGCCCTGAGAGGCAGTGTGGGCAAATAGGAAGAACACAGCCTTTAGGTCAAGAAGATGGGAGTTGGAAACCCATCCTGCCACTCAGCAGTCTCTGGCCCTGGTCAAGTCACTTCACCTCTGGTAGTCTCCGTTTTCTGAAATATATATATTTAAAAACAACAATCACCTGCCTTACACAGTAGTTGTGAGGAGGGTCAGGCTTTGTGTATAAAGTTCTAGGATGGTGTCTGGGACAGAACAAGCCCCCAGAAGTGGTAGCAGATGCTCTCGTACCAGCGACAGTCATCTCGGCAAGCTCTGCCCCGCCGAACGGTGGTCCTGCCCCCGGCAGAGGTCCGGTGGCTGCTCCCTAGGCAGGTGTCATGAGGAAACAGTGCCCTGAAGGCTGTCGAAGAGCTCTACCTACCGGAAAGGGCTGTTGAGATGTCTAATTTCATTTGATCCTGATGACAAGCCTGTGGGCCAAGCAGAGCAGGAACTTCATCAGCTGACAACCGAGGGACCTACAATTTGAGCGATGTAGGTGACTTGCTCAAATTAGAACCCACGTCTCCTAAGCTCAAAACTAGCATTTTTTCCCTACATTTCCCTGACCACCAGATGGCAAATATGTCCTTGAGCACAAAAGATGGGCCACAGCTCTTTCAGACTCTCTGGGACAGTCCTGCCAGGGCCACCCCCTTCTGGAATTCACTGAGCTGAGGAACTGTACCTGAGTGACACGTCTCTAGGTCGGTGCAGGAAGACAGGAGCCAGAAACTCAGGGGGCAAATCTAAGTGGACAGGGCCCCCACCATACTCCCTCTGGGACACATTTTCTGCCAAGGTGGATAGCACCAGTTTATCATGAGCGATGCACAAAGAGATGAAATGATATCCCCCCCCTCACAGCTGTCAGCGGGAAAGCAGAGAGGTCAAGGTTGCCCTGCAGTGCAGAGTGGGATCTAAGGCCTTCTGTTTAGCCAGAGTCCGTGTCATCTGGGAAGATTAAAGGATAAGTCTCAGGGGGCATTTCAAGATAAACAGGACATCTCTCCTGTTATCAGTTTCCCCCAAAAGAGAAGTGAAAGAAACACCAATAATTTGAATGAAAATGATATTTAAATAAGCTCAAAATGAAGATGCCATCCGTTTAAAGCAAATGGCTACTATGCCCTAGAAGGCACCAAGTTGAACACTGGAAATACAAAAATGAATACAATCCCGTCTCTTCCCTTCAAGTGTTGACTGTCAGATTTGGAAGACAGCCTCATAAATAAAAAGTCACAGCATTTTGTGAAGTATCCTGTTACCCAGTTATGAGCAGATAGGAATCTCCACACACAGGGGTCAGGGAAGGTTTTGCCAGAAAAGATACCATTGAGCTGACACCTGAAGAATGAGTAGAAGTTCAGCAGGGGGACAGAATATTCCACAGAGCGGGGATGGAAAGTACGGAGAGGTGTGGAGGTGGGGGGGGAGGGGACAAGGTGCTGGAGCGCAGGCCGTCTGCTGGGAGGAGGCTGGGGAGAAGAGACGGTGGCAGCGTGTGAAGGGCCCTGTGTGTTGCTCGGCTGGGGAGTCTGAACTCAGCCCAGAAGCCGTGGGGAGTCCTGGAAGGGAGGGCATTGGCACTGGAGTGACGTGACGATGTCTGGGTTAGAACAAGGAAGAATGGCCTGGGGAGGACCCAGGCTGCAGGCAGAGAGACCTGCCTATTATTTGAGAAGGATGAGGTGATGGGACAGTTGTGTTGGGTCTACAGAGGAAGGACAGTTGGAGAAAATCATGTCACCTTCGTCTAATTCAAGGAGAGAAAATAAAGAGAGGCTATCGTGGGTCTGGGAACCTGGCCCTGTTAAGAATCAGCCAGTCCCTAAGACAACGCCCAAAGCAAGGGATGGTTATGATGACAGGCCAGATTAAGACCTTCAGAGACCTTGACACTGAAAAGATGACGATGCCCCCGTCTTCATGTGTAATTCAAAAAACACCAATCTGTAAAATAAAATTTTGTTTTTCAAAAGGACCCAAAACCTGCATGCCTGATAAAACGTAAAATCGCTTCCTTCTAGACTTTTCTGATTCTCTCACTTGCATCTTGAAGGTTTGTACAGTGCCCTTCCTTTGCTGGCACTGCGCAGTCTGCCCTCTGACTCCCCAGTACGGTTTGCATCCCACCATCCAGTGAAAGTGGCCAGTGCCGGGCTATCCAACCTGAACAGAGGGAGAGTCCCTTGAATCAGAAGACTTTCCAGAGGCTTGGAAGTGGCTACCAGTATTCAGATGCAGTTTGAGGGCCTGAGAATGACCAGGCCATGCACAGGGACTAAAAGTTAGCTTTCCAGGAGTTAGGAGTCCAGCTCCAATTCCGCCATGTGATAGGACAATTCAGGTTTAATTAGGGAGTCCTCTCCAACTGTAAAAAAAGACATAATGACTAGGAATTAAAATAACAGTTACGATTATTGAGTATCTACGATGTGCCAAGCACTATGCTAAATAATCTTCAGATATGATTTTATATAATTTTCTCAGTACACCGACAAAGTAGCTGTTCATACCCCATTTTGCAGAGGCTTGAGGCTCAGAAGGCCAGCTAACTTGCCCAAGTTTCAGAACCTGGAAATGACAGAGCCAGACTTGGAACCCAGACTGATCTGATTCCAGTACTTGTGCATTTTTCCTGCCGTGTGCCCAGGGCCAGTGCCTTGTCTCTGCCACCCTCCCTAAGGTCATGGTCTACCTCTGCCTCCCTCTGTCGGCAGAGCCTTGTCTTTAGGACTGGTTTCCAGAAACAGAACTGCCCCCTTGTTTTATTTCTTTTTCCTTGGATGTTGCTGCAAATTACAAACTCATCCTGCAATTCCTTATATCTGACTGCGGAAGGGAGACTCCTGGGCTCCTGATCAGTATAACGTAGGTCTGAGTCGACAGAAGACTGTATTGTCACTGACTGGGAGTCAGAGCTGGCCAGGGTCTTATCAGCCAGTCCTGACGTGGCTGGGGGTGGGGCTGCCATACAAACCCGAGGGAGAAAGGCTTGTGTTTTGAACTCTTGAAGTGTTTTTTTAGAGGCAAGCCCTGTCGTGTTTCTGGCTTGGATTTACAGGCCACCCATGGTAAGCCTCCCTGATAATCCTTTTAAGAAAACACGTGTTGTGCTTCTCATATGGACATGGTGCTGGGCCGGGCATCACAGTCATTGGCAAGAGCTTCTTGTATTAACAGTTAGGTAAGAGGGATAATGAAGCCAACCACTGGGGTCAGAAAAATTACAGAACTGTCACCCAAAAGAGGGACATCATCCCCAAGTGACTTTTTGCTTGGATTCATGCTGTACCTCTGCGGTCTCCTAATGGGAAGGAAGAAAGTGCTCACCAAAGGGTGTGTCCTTATTTCACAGCCATAGCCCAGCGCATAAATACTACCTGACCACAGACCCCATGAGCGGGGCTGTCTTCCTCTCGGACACCAACAGCCGGCGGGTCTTTAAGATCAAGTCCACCGTGGTGGTGAAGGACCTCGTCAAGAACTCCGAGGTGGTCGCGGGGACAGGTGACCAGTGCCTCCCCTTCGATGACACTCGATGCGGGGATGGGGGCAAGGCCACCGAGGCCACACTTACCAACCCCAGAGGTAAGGCTTGCTTTTTAAACTCAATCGGTAACATTGACGGGGGTCCTGATAATTAACTTCCCAGGAGTAAGGAGTCCAACTCCACACTCAGGCTTAGAACTGGAAAAAATTACAAATAAGCCCCATGTGATAGCAAAATTCAGACTTCATACCCACTCCAGTTTCAAAAGAAATACATGCTTATCCTTGTGAAAGCATTTTGGAAAAGAGCAAGGAGTCTACAGGGAAAAGTTAAAATTGTCACAATTCCACCTGCCAGAAATATTCCCAGGTAACATTTCCCGTCTTTCCTTCTAGTCCTTTTTCCGTGTGTTGGTGTGCATGTGTTTGTGTGCTCACCAAAAACAGACAAAATTGTGGTCAAACTGTTTTGGTAACCTTTTTTTTTTCCCTAACTGATGTATCATGAACATTTCCCCATGTTATTAGTCTTCTCTGCCCTCATTTTTTATGGCCATATAGCATTCCATCAAATGGATGTCCCATCATTCACTCATCAGTCCCCTCCTGTTGGACATGTATGCTCTCTCTCATGTTGTTGTTTTATCAGAACATTGCAGCGTATCAGCTTTGTAGATGCTCACATGCCATAGGACGGGTTAACTGTTGGCTTCAGTTTTGAGTCCTTCAAAATGTTAGACCTCTTCATACCCACAATTACAATTTTCCATTCACTTATTCAGCACGTATTCACTGAGTGTGCAGTGCACTATGGTTGCATAGGTAAGTTCAGTGTAGCAGAAGAAATAAGACTTGAACGTGAACCACTAATGTGGGAGAGAGGAAGAGGAGCTTCTCCCTGAGAAGCAAGGAGACATGTGCACGAGACTCAGATTTCTATACTTCATAAGATACCCCACAAAAATGTCATATGTAATTATATTAGTAAATGGTGCCAGATTTCAGGGCATCTCCTGGACCCAGCTCTGCCCCTCATGAATAGAATTAATGTCTGTGACAGTGGTTGGTAAAATGCAGTTGGTATGTGCACTTTCCAGTCAAAGCATTAGAGTCTAGTGAAATCAGGCTGTTCTGTATTCAGGTTCAGTCATTGTCACCTCATAGCCGTGTGAGTTGGGCTGAGTTGCTTAACCTGTCTGAACCACACTTGCCTCGCCTATGAAATAGAAATGTACTGCACAGTCGGAGTACAGATTAAATCTGATCAGGAGTGAAAACGCTTAGTTCCGTGGTTCCAGGCACCTGATCAACATCTCATAAATAGTGACGTCTATTATAATTGTTATATTACATTACATTATGTTATCACACTATATAGCATCATATCTCATCTCATCTCATCTCTCTCACATACCTCGACTGGTCAGGTGGTAACTGTGGGGTCAGTATTGTGACTTCCGCGGTCCCAATTATGATTTCCTAACCCTGAGCGAGTAGTAGCCTGCAATGGAAAGAACACCAGGCTTGCACTTAGGGATCATGCATTATGATTTGGTCCTGCAGCTCCCTGGCCTCTGACCTCCTCCTCTGGGCCTCAGTTTTCCCATTGGTAAATGAGCAGATGGGGCTCCATGGATCCCCAAGACCCCGTTCAGTTACAGCATTCTGTTCTCCCAGAAGTCAACGTTTTTTCTGAAAATGTTATTCTCTCCAGGGCTTTCTCAGTTGCCCCCACACACAGATGCACGCACACGGATGCACACACGCGGGCACCCAGATGCAGCGGCAGGGAAATTGCCCGAAAGTCTGTAATTAACCCCGAGAGAAATGACAAGGGTGCCACGGCACGCAGACACTTCACAGAAGGGAGGAGAAAAGATGTCCATCTATTTAGCACGACAAAAGGAGAAAAATCTGAAGTAATTAATCAGGGGGCAGATCACTTCTATTAGCCTGTGCAAGCAGCTTTGTAAACAAGAAGCCCGATTGTTCACGCAGCACTCATCAGTCCCAGCAGATGGAAGAGAAAGACAGAGCATAACCAGGCAGACAAGAAAACTCCTGTCCTGGTACTTACAGAATGCAATTAATTTAGACTCTAGGCAAGGACAGAAAAAAGGCATCCCTGCCTGAAGGCTGCCTTGTCCTCTGTGTGAAATCGCCCTCCGGCCCTGAGCAGCCTAACAAGGGGGTGGACAGACCTACTGCTCCGGGGAGTCTTCAGCACTCAGAGGCCCTGGGGTGTCTGAAACCACCCCAGTCCTGGACACACGGACCCCAAGAGCAAGGGCCTCCACAAAGCGCTGGTCAAGTTCTCAGAATTCTCAGTCACTAGTAATTATTGAGGGCTATTACAAGTGTCAGCTATTATCCTCCCCGTTTTGTTGACAAGAAAGCTGGATTCAGTCAAGTGACACGGCCAAGGGTCTACAACTGGAAAGCTTTCTCTTGCAAGCGCCTCTACCCTTCTTTCATTTCAGTGCCCAGAGAAGCCTGAACAGAACACAACTGACTGGACTCTCCTTTTCTTCATCATGTCACTCCCTGGGGCACTCGGCAGGGCCCTGACTCATTCCCGCCCTCCCCGCTAGCCTGTGTGCTCCCTGGGGGCCCGTCTTGTCTGTCTCTCAGCCCCAGCACCCCTGAGCAGTTCTCGGTTTGGTCAGGCTATGTCTAACCCTTGGGGTGGTAATTTGGGGTGTAAATCAGTATCACCCATGATAAAACATATCTTAGTCCCAGTCCCAGCCACCCCAGAATTAATATTTCCAGGAGTGAGGCCAAGCAGGTATACGTTGGGAAAAATAAAGACTCTTCTGGTGATTCTGATATACATCACTGGTTAAGAAGCACTGATTTATTGTATTAGAGTGATTCTCGAACTTTGTTTTAGATCATTACCACCTGAGGTGCTTGTCAAAAATACAGATAGATATTCAGGCTCTGCTTGAGGTTTTCTGAACCAGCTCCCTGTGGAGTACCTAATAGAAAATGTACACACATCCAGGAGTGAGAAGTACAAATTGAGAACAATCCCTTCATTTAAGAGCTGAGAATACAGAGACATCCAGTGACTTGCCCAAGGTCACACAGCTGGTCGTGGAGAAAGTGAACGGTGAATTCAGACTGCTCTCATCCATGTGCCTTTCTTTAGACATTTATTTCACCCATATTCTCTACACACATCCAAAGCGTTCATGTTTAGGCTCTATACATCTATAATAACCAATAAAAATAAAATCAGAATAGAAAACAGGAAGGATGATTATCTTGGGAGAAAATAAAAATTGTTACCAAAAAGGGAATTTATTATAATTAAAAGGCTTCATAAGTAGATTAACTTAAATAATTCACAGTTTTGACATTGAAAAATGTTCTCCTTACCGCTACCTCTAATGCTTGACAAACCCCCAGAAGCAGGAGTCTGGTTTTGGCGGCTAGCTAAGCTGACAGGCAAAAATCTCCAGAGGCAGTAAGGTGGAAGGACCAGAGCCCTGGAGAATCAGAAGACTTGAGTTCTAATCCCTGGTCTGAACAAGTCACCCTAAGCCCCTGGGCATCTGTCTTCAGGACTTTAAAAGGGTAATGAATCCTGTGGGGAGGATGTCCTCAAATCACAGAGGGGAGGTTCTCCATCAGCCTGGAAGGTTCCATGTCAGTTGTTACCACCTCTAATGCTGCATTCCCTGTTTCGGCTTCTCTTTCTCAGGCATCACAGTGGACAAGTCTGGGCTGATTTACTTCGTGGATGGCACCATGATCAGACGCATTGATCAGAACGGGGTTATCTCCACCCTGCTGGGCTCCAATGATCTTACCTCGGCCCGGCCCCTCAGCTGTGACTCCGTCATGGATATTTCTCAGGCAAGGAGAAAGCTTTGCTTGCTAGAACCCTGGGGCTGCACGCTCATCCTCTCACCTAATACCCAGCCCTCCTGCCGGCCCCCCATCTTTATACCGCACTAACCCTTGAAGAGTACACTCTTGGTGCTGGGCCTGGGAAAAACGCTAAGGATAAAGAGATGAGTAGGGCATAGCTTGGTGCTCTGGGAGTTCACCATCAGGGGAGACAGGTGGGTGACAGAGGGATCTCAGGGGAGAGTGAAGAAATCTGCCCATGGAAATTTCAAAGGCAGTAGAAATTCACATGGTATGAATTTAGATCCATAGCTGCCTGTGAGTTCCCTCTTTGGAAATACTTACAGTACCTGGGCATTGTCTTTTCTCTTCCTGTACTATAAACTCCATGAGGACAGGAATTCTGTCCATCTTTTCCTCTGCTGTAACCAGAGGTATACGGTATACGGTAGGAGTATAACCAGTATTTGGTGACTGACAGATTGAATCCTAGCTTTGCCACTCACGAGCTGATTAATTTTAGACAAGTTCCTGAAGTCCTTTGAGCCTCTCTTTTTATATCTTTAAAATGAAAATCATTGACTTCAGCCTGGCAGAATTGCTTGGAGAAAACATGAACAGTGAATAATGGGCTGCTAGCATTGCTTGGCTCTTCAAAGGCAGTCAACAAACAGAAGTTCTGGTGCCCACTTTCACAATGGAAGTGCAATCTGTGCCAGGTTTTGAAGGTGAAATAGGGGTTGCTGGTTGGCAAGGAAGAACGGAGGCATCTCACACAAAGGGAGCAGCACGTGCAAAGGTACAAAGATATTAATGGGCCTGCAACCGTCAAGGATCGTTGGAAGATGGAAGGCATTGGAATAAAGAAGCAGGAGTTGAAGCTGGAAGCATGATTTGGGGCCAGTTAGGGAAAGACTTTCCCGTACCATGCCAGAGAGTTTGGACCTTAGCAGGGAACACCGGGACCCCAGTGTAGACCCAGTGACTGGCCATTCAGCATGTCCTTAGTTTGTCCCGCAATGTCTTGGCAAGGAAAGTGTCCTTTATTGCTCGGGACTTTGGCAGGGCCTGGCTGGAGCTGAATCAGTGAACATCCTTCTTGCCAACATTAGCAAAACCAAGGAAAAAGGAAGGCAGGAGTTACATTAAATTGCACAGTGGTGTCAGCAATAACCTCACTTAGCGTTTTAAACCCCCTGCACAGAGGCCCTTTTCCACTGACTGCTGATCTGCTCCCTGTTCTTTGCAGGCCGCAGAGGTGGGAGGCCTCACTGGCCACGCCTGCCTGTTAGCAGCATGTGTCGTGGAGCGCCATCCCCAGAGCCCCCTGGCTGTCGCTGGCCATCCCAGCACCCGCCTCACACCCCTTTCAGTTGCTGGCACGGTTTTCTTCTGCGCCAGCTAATGTGATTGTTACGCCCCCGAATGAAATCCGCTCTCTGCCACTCGTCTTCCCAGTTTGGCAGGCTTCCCCTTGCTGGCTAGAGAGTTTCCCTCTCCAGCCCGTAAGCAAGCTGGAATTACCCGTCAGGAAGCTGCACGGCCTGAGCATGTACACGCGAGTCCTTTCAGTTCTCAGAACGGGCCCTGTACCAGCCAGCACGGGCGCTGAAAACTTGCAATCCACACATTGGAAAGCTGTGTAACTTTAGGTAGAGGTGCTGCCAAGCAGGCAGATCCAAGTCTTGGAGGACAACCGGCAGATAGTGGAGTGGGGAAAAAACCCACACTCAGCTTCAGAAATCCTGGACCGCAGTCCCTTTGCCCCGGCCGTCACTACCCTCATCTGAATCGAAGCATGGAATCCTTTTTACCAAACTCTCTGGACACGGGCTGACATTTTTATACACACGTGTGGGCAGGGTACTGGCGTTCATTCTGAGAGCTTCCTCTGTACAGACACTCAGAGCTATTTCACTGCCCCCGGGGGAGCAGGGTGGTAAGCCAGAGAGCTAAGAACACAGCTCAGAGGCAAGAGTACAAAGCAGAGAACCAAGGAACTCGGACCAGCTGCCCTGGGAGGAGACGAAGACCAGGCCCGAGGAGAAACTCGAGGGAGGCATAGAGTAGAGAAGGAACAGAAGATGTTGCAACCCCGTAGAAGGAGGGGATTCGTTCCTAGCTCAGCAGGCTACAGAGTATAACTCTGTATGGAGGGTCCAAAAAGATTTCTTGAGAACTTAGCATGTGCCAGGCACTGTTAGAAATGGGAATACAGAGATGAGTATGACTTTACTTTTCTTATTTAGCTGTCACAATAACCCCAAGGGGTGATACTATCTACCCCATTTTACGGATAAGGAAACCGAGGCTTAGTGGGGGGGAAAAATGCAGTTATACATACAGAGCCCTACGCTAGGTTCCATCAGGGATGTGGAAATGAATTTTGAAGTGAAATCACGTACATAAATTGCCTAGCACAGCGCCTGGCAGCTAGTAATAAGCTGTAAATATTCATTCCCTTTATGATTTGCAAAGAAACGCCTTGTACATTGTCTTGTTTGATCCTCACAACTACTCTATGTAATATTTATTACCTCCATTTACAGATGAGGAAAGAAGTTCAAAGTCTTTAAGTAACACACACCTGTAGTAATTGTGGGACTGAGACAAGAAGTGAGCTGTCTTGGCCTCAAATCCCTCGCGCTCTCTATGCCATTCACCAGTCATTCATTCGTTCATCCATTTGGCAACCCATTTTTTTGAGAACAAATAACTCTGCCACAAGGCAGTCATCTCAGAGCGCTTTGATAAAGGCGCAGAATATTCAGGAGGACAGGGGAGAGGGAGCTCCATCCCCCCTCAGGACCGCAGAACACGGGAGCAGGCTGGAGGGACCACAGGAATTCTAAAGAGCCGCTCTTCCATTGTGGTGACGGCGCCCTGTGGCTCTGAGGAGGTGAAATCAGAAAAGCTCGTGTGCTTGGTCTGCTCCAGAACCATCACACAGGCTCCGTGACAGAGCCAGGACGGACTCCAAGAGCACTGTTCTTCTTTCCCAGGTGCCTGTGTGCACGCGGCAGGAAGGAGGGGGAGAGCAGGAAGGCGCTTGCTCTTCCCCTCTCCCCCTTCCCCGCCCCTCCCCAGCCACCCATCAGGGAGGCATCTTTTCCTCATAATGACTGGCAGAAAGGTCTGGGCTAGCAGGTCCCCAAGGTGCCACAGGACCAGAAGGCATAAAATATTTAGCAGCCAGTGTTGACAAGAAATGGGTTTTAGGAAATTGAAAATTCCCCTGTCACTTTAGAGTAAACTGTTCTTGATGCAGCCAAGGGCTCAGAGAGCACTGGGAAGTGTGAAGGAGCGCCTCTGGCCGGGGGCACTGGTCTCTGGCAGGCCAGGCTCCGCAGGGGGCCAAGGGGCCCAGGCTGGGAGGGAGGAGACAGGAAGACCAGGAAGCAGGGCCTGAGCAGGGCCCTGAGCTGAAGGGTCAGATGGAGGTGGGCACATCCCAGATGTATGTAATTTGCTGGGGTTTCTTTTTATATTAGTAAACTACCACATGGACATTGTAGAAAATGCAAGAAGTTAAAAGATTACAAAGAAGAATGTTAAAATTACCCCAAACCCGAGTATGATTAACATTTTGATGTATGACCCCAAGCTTTTAATCTCCCCTCTATCTGTAATTTATCTAATTTGTGGTTGCCATATTTCCCCCCAGTTGGGATCACACTGTGCTTCCAATTCTGTAACCTGGTCTTTTCCACTAATACGTAGCAAGCATTTTCCCATGTCATTAAATATCCAGCTATAACATCACCTTTAATGGCTACACAGAGTACTCTACCTTATGAGCGAACTAAATGCTATCACTTATTTAGCCAGTGCTCTGTTGTTGGGCATTTGAATTGGTTGCAGTTATTCGCCGTTATTAAAAATGGCTGTGATGTACACCGTTGTCGACAAGGGTGTGCAAGAGTGAATTCCTGGGAGAGAAATGTCTTATCTAAAGTAATATGCATGTTTAAGTAAGTCCGAAATTGGACAGAATGTCGAGGGTTTGTAGGGGGCTCGGGAACCTAAGGCGATGAATCCCTAGGGACGGGGGACACAAATCAGATGGAGGTGACACTTCAGGCCGTGTACAGTGTGGCTGGATGACCCCTTGGGGACACAGCTGGCAAGTGGCTTCCCTCAGTGCCAGTACCTCCCAGTGTCCACCAACAAAGCATTCCTCACCTCAGACCCCGCCAGCTTCCTCCCCCGCCACCCCCTCTCCGTGTGCCTACCTGAAAGCTCACCCTCGTCCCTGCCAGCTTCCCAGCCTGGCACAGAGGAGACTCAGGCATGGGCCCCAGGACCTCAGAACCCCTCCTTCCCGGGGCCACCTTCTTTAATCTCTTCCAGGAGGACATGTTTTCTGAGGTGCTAGGAGCCATTATCTAGAGCAGGGATTCACAAACCTCCGTGTGCACAGGAGCCATCCAGGGGTTTTGTTTAAATTCAGATTCAGATTCAGTGGGTTCGGTGAGACCTGCCGTCCTGCATTTCTGACCAGCTCCTATGCGATGTCAGTGCCGCTGGTCCAACAATCACACCTGACAGAGGAAGGATTCCATTGTGATTCCCAGTTCCCACGTTAGAATCACCCAGAAAGCTTTCGAAATCATGCCACTGCCTAAGCCCCACACTCAGGGGTCTGATTTCATTGACCAGAGGTGGGATTTGTGCACCAAGCTTTCTAAAACCACCACAGGTAATTGGAATGTGTGGCCAGGTTTGAGAACCACTGGTCTGGAACCGTCAGGGACCATGGCTATTTTGTCTTTACATCCCCAGCCGCTAGGCATGTGTTCATCCATGAATCCAGTGGGCTGAGATGCCGTCTTTCATGCAGGTATCATATCATCAGCTCATGTAGACATCTGAACAATTCCTGCCTCAGCCTCCAGACTCCCCCTGCCTCCCCTCCCACCTCCAACACATTAGCTGTCATTAGTTGAGCGCTCATTGTGGGTCAGGCACTTTGCACTATTGTCAGTCCTGTTGTACAGAAGTGAATACCGAGACTCAGAGAGGCAAAGTAACTTGCCAAAGGTCATAATGGTGGGGCTAGGATCTGAACCTGGGCCCATCTGGCACCCAAGTCTATCTCCTCTTTACTTTTTTTGTTTCTTTGCCTATTTTTTTTTTCCTTTTTATTCCCTTCTTCATGTTTTGTGAGTCTAATGGAGATCATGAGGTGTCTCAGTGACAGCTATTGCATGTTTCACTCTGATCAGGGGGCTGACACCCATTGCCGATGACAGGCCGCCGTAAGATCAGGCAGGACAGCGTGTGAAGGCACTCGAGACATTCTTACAAGCTATACAGGCTGGGGGAGGATTCGTGGTGGGCACCCTGCCAGGAATCTGAGTTATCGGTTGTCTCCATTGGCAGGTTCGCCTGGAGTGGCCCACAGACTTAGCCATCAACCCAATGGACAACTCCCTCTACGTCCTTGACAACAATGTGGTCCTGCAGATCTCTGAAAACCACCAGGTGCGCATTGTCGCTGGGAGACCCATGCACTGCCAGGTCCCCGGCATCGACCACTTCCTACTGAGCAAGGTGGCCATCCACGCAACCCTGGAGTCAGCTGCTGCCTTGGCTGTCTCACACAATGGGGTCCTGTACATTGCCGAGACCGACGAGAAGAAGACCAACCGCATCAGGCAGGTCACCACCAGCGGAGAGATCTCCCTGGTTGCAGGGGCCCCCAGTGGCTGTGACTGTAAAAACGATGCCAACTGTGACTGTTTCTCGGGAGACGCCGGCTATGCCAAGGACGCAAAGCTGAATACGCCATCTTCCTTGGCTGTGTGTGCCAACGGGGAGCTCTACGTGGCTGACCTGGGGAATATCCGAATTCGGTTTATCAGGAAGAACAAGCCCTTCCTCAACACCCAGAACATGTATGAGCTGTCCTCGCCCATTGACCAGGAGCTCTACCTGTTTGATACCAGTGGAAAGCATCTGTACACCCAAAGTCTGCCCACGGGCGATTACCTGTACAACTTCACCTACACGGGGGATGGCGATGTCACACTCATCACTGACAACAACGGCAACATGGTGAACGTCCGCCGGGACTCTACCGGGATGCCCCTCTGGCTGGTGGTCCCAGATGGCCAAGTGTACTGGGTGACCATGGGCACCAACAGCGCACTCAAGAGCGTGACCACACAAGGACATGAGTTGGCCATGATGACATACCATGGCAACTCTGGCCTTCTGGCAACCAAAAGCAATGAAAATGGATGGACAACATTTTATGAGTAAGTATCACCACAAGGGCATCTGACGGTTTTGTTTCATGAGATGTATTGTACGATTAGAGGTGAGTTGGTGGAGTGTTAATTTTTGGATAGATTTCATTTTGGCTCAGAATTTGGGATGCAAACCATTACCCACAATGTGTTCTGCATGTTCATATCACAGCGATTGCTCCTAGGAAGGAATATGATGTAGTGGAAAGGGCATGAGCTTGGCATTAGGAGACTTGGGCTTGCATGTCTCTAGGCCTCCATTGCCTCATCTGTACAATGGAAATACCTCCCCAACATCCCACAGGGAGGGAATGGAGATGAAACGTACTTGACAGAGTGCTAGCATCTTCGGATGACCACTTCCAGAAACAATGGCATGTTCCATGTAGATGAATTGCCCACCTAATCGAAGCTTACATCTTCAAGTTTCAAAACTTTTATTTTTTTTCATTTTAACCATTTTGGGTGGAACTTAAATGCTTTCCGTGCCTCCCTTCTCAAACCCATTATAGAGACATAATGAAACTTTTCTCTTTATGAGTCAAGATCATTAATAAGGAACAACCGCAATTGCGTATTACCCCGGAAGGGAGGACATGGGGCTACAGAACCTGCCCAGAAAGGGTTGTAAACTGTCCTTTGATCAGCTCCAGCGTGGCAGGGTATCATTTTACTGCTTCCTCCCTCCGCGTGGCGCTATGTGTTTCAGTCGTGGCACCCACCACGAGGAGCTCACTTCCCTTCCCCTCATCCAAGGTAGGGCTTCTTGAGGGGTGTGATCAGAAAAGCAGAAGTTTGGCTCATTCCAGCCCTAGCCAGAATCAAAGGCATGTGTATCTGAGCTCTTTATCTAGGAGCTATTGTAATGAATGGACTTTGTACCTTCTCTTTTTGCATTTTTTAAGATGTTTTTTCAAGGTCTTAGCCATGTTCCAAACAACTGAGACTACTGAATATGTGACCAGTAGGTAGGTATGCAGGAGGTGGGGAAGGAAGTAGCCTTTTGAGCACCAGAGATGGGCTAGGGATCACATTATTGCCTTTAATCCTCATAAGAGCTCTGGAAGACGAGTGATAGTATCCATTCTACAGAAATAGAAACTGAGGCTCAGAGATGCTCTCTGTTACATAGTGAGAACGCAGCAGAACCGGGATCACAACCTAAGTCTGTCTGATGCCAGAGCTCCCACTCTGTCAGCTCCACCCTGCTGCCTCCTGCTGAGTTTGTTAATCCCAAATGAACTTAAATTCTTGAACTGTAAATTTTTCTCAAGCTTGATCAAGCTTCAGTTTCTCATAGTCCTAGAGTCCAAAGGCGAAAGATCTGTAATAGATTTTTAAATACAATTTGCACCAAAAAAAAAAAAAAAAAGTCACAGCAATTTATACAAAGTTCACTGGCTAAATTCCTGTCACCAAACAAGGGCCTTGTTAATTACAAAGAAAGACAAAGATCCAGGAAAACAGCAATTATCTTGATTAACTCATTGAAATGGAAATACACTCAGTAATTCAATTTTCCTCCGTTGCCCATTGGAAATCTCTTATACGTTACTTAGGCAATACAGGGGTTTCTTTGTCAGAGCAAGTCCGCACACTCAGTTAGTTCCCAGGGTCACTCCTTCAAATCCCAAACTGAATGCTTACATATCACTGCAACCGTTGTTCCCAACCAACCCTGAAATCTAAAACCATTTCCTATACCTACACCAGAAAGGATCCCATTCCCTGCTCCCTGTCTTCCTCAATGAAATATATAGTCATAGTAGTTTTATGAAGAAGAGAATGGTAGTGAATAATCACTTTTTAGAAAATGGTATTTGGAATTCCAAAGAATGCCCTGAGAATGGAAGATAAAAGCCCTAAAGAGAAACTTATTTATCTTGACATCCTACTGTGTGCCAAGATCTTTCCAATTTCATCTTCACGGCAACCTCAGACCAGAGAAATTACCATCCACAGTGTTTACAGATGAACAAACTGAGGCACAGAGAGATTAGGAACCAGTCTAAAATTACACAGTGATACATCGCAGGGCCAGAACACAAATCCGTGTTCTTTCACGGACACTGAGGATGTTCTCCTAAGTTCTCTGTGACTTCTCTGTATGGTAGGGAGAAAAATAGTATCTATTTCATAGGGATAGTCTGAGGTTAAAAATGTCAATGAGCTAAACCAATGTCAATGTGGAAAACGCAATGTCTTACTCATCAGCAGTTTGAAAGTGGTAACTGCTGCCGTCATCATCATCCTCCTCCTCCTCCTCGTCACTGCAAGCAATATGAGTGGATGTACCAGTAATTGCAGAATATTGTTTGGGCATGAGAGGTAGTACCCAGGAGCAACAGCAAGTAAACTAGTCAAAGGAGCAAACAAGAGTTATAATTAAAGTAGGTAGGAATTAGAACTCATGCCAGAGGAACGGAATCAAATGTCAAGTCTGAGGGATCAAGGTAAGAACTAGGAAAGGGGTCAGGTCCCTGAGAATATCCAGACTGGGCTGGCAAAAGGCATGCAGAGTGGGTCAAGGAAAAATGGTTCAGCTCAGACTGTGAACAAAGCCAGGGTACAAGATAGCTATTTTCACTGAATGTTAGCCATGTGACTCAGGGGCTGGCTGCCTGGTTTCCAGACCTAGGTTTCAACCAGACAGAAATCAAGCTTCCCCTACTCTATTTCATGGCCATTATGAGGATCAACAAACTAAATAAATACACAAGGTAAAAAAACTTGCAAACTGTGAAGTTCCCAGGAAGTAAGGATGCAGTATTATCATTATTGTGGTGTTTCTTTTTTCTTTTTCTTTTTTTTAAGTAGGTTCCACACCCAGCACAGAGCCCAACACGGGGCCTGAACTCATTACCCTGAGATCAAGACCTGAGCTGAGATCCAGAGTTGGACGCTTAACTGACTGAGCCACCCAGGCGCCCCATTACTGTGGTGTTTCTTAGCATAGATTTTGACAGATTCTGCCAAAGCACCATTGCTCTAGTGAATTTTCTACTGTTAGCTCCATGAGGCAGTTTAGTGGATTCCAATCCAAATGCTCTAATATTAAAAAAAAAAAAATCAGCCCAGGCTTGTGGGTAACATGGGCTGTTACCGAAACAAGTTTTAAGTTGGCTTTATTGATCCTTTCAACAGATTAAATAATTCATCTAACATAAACATCACACACTGCAGAGCAACTTGACTTAGAGAGTTCACAGTTCTGGGGAATGAAGCTTACCTTCCTCCCCTCAGCCCACAGGTCTGCTGGCAGAAAACCTCAAAGGACTCTGTAATGCAATCCTCATTTCCAGTGTGTGGCATCATTAATTTCAGATGTGGGCTCCTGGCCAGATGGCATTCAGTGGCTAAGAAAATGGCCTGGTGAGCATGACGCAGGTTCCAAAATTCGCTTGCTGGGTGGGCATGAGCAGCCGGCTTCCCTGAGTTTCATAGGGGTAAGTGGCTCTGGCATCCCATGGTGCCCTGTGGGTTCTATCATAGTTCTGCTCACACTAAATACTGTGAGACCCTAACTAACTGACCTCTGTCTCAAGCTCAGGGCTTGCCACCTCATAGGTGCTCAGTAAATATCTTATGAGTGAAATGTAAATACAGGGAAGGGAAATAAAGAAGGGAGGAAAAACACGCTGTAGTGAGAAGAGTATCAAATCCCAGCTCCAGCATTATCAGTGCACCCAGCAGGACACAGAATTCAACTCAGATGGTTCAAATAAAGACATTTGGCTTTGGGGTTTTGCTGGAGGATGTAAGAGCTAGAAAGTGCATCATTCCCAAACTTACAGTAGGAATAAGGTAGACAAATGGCAGATTCTTGAGTTTTCCTTAAACTCCTTCTCTAAGGTCACAGGGCAGCCACCTAACCAAATCCAAGGGGAGAAACTCCTGAAGAGAAAGACAAGATGTGAGCATTAGCTTCCTGGGGGTCAACGCAGCTGGTCGGAAGGGTTCGGCTAGGGTGGCTGGCAAATTTATGAAGGCCAAGTGTGTACTGGCGAGAGAGTATGAAGCCATTAGACGCTGCAGAAACTGAGTGGGAGAGCCCACATCCTCTTCGTAACTTCTCTCCACAGCCCGACCGGGGACTCTCAGAAAAGAGTAGGGAAAGATGTAAGAAAGCGACTACTGTGGTAGACTTGGGGGAGGGGCACAAATATCTGCCTGCTGGACCCAGACCCGACTCACCTTATTTCCCATATGGAACAAAAGCCCTAATCTGTGGAGAGTAGGGCAACTAACGCTGCCCTCCTCAGGTACTGGTGGAGACCCACTGCCACTGAATGAGGGAAGAGAAAAAAATTCTAGCCTCTGTTAGGAAGGGAGAGGGATATGTAATGGGCCCAGAATTACAGCAGGAAGAAGGGCAGGAGGACTGAAGAGGCCACACTCTGTTTGTTTGGGTTTTTTTTTAGATTTTATTCATTTATTTGTCAGAGAGAGGGAACACAAGTAGGGGGAGGGGGAGTGGGAGAAGCAGGCTTCCCACCAAGCAGGGAGCCGGATGCGGCGCTCGATCCCAGCACCCTGGGATCATGACCTGAACCGAAGGCAGGCACTTAACGACTGAGCCACCCAGGCGCCCCAAGGCCGCACTCATGAGACTCAGGGACACACGGATACATAAGACTGCAGCTTACTCGGAACCACGGAGAACTCTCTAGCTCACCACCCACTGCCATCAGTTAGCTAAAGAGCCAAACACAATAAGGGAAAGCAGAATACTACTGTGAAAGAGATAAAAGAGGGACAACAGCCTGGAAAGGGACCCTCCCTGAGGCACAGCACAAACAGGGGACCTAAAGCTTAGGATGGAGTCGACACTGAGAAAAAAAAAACTCCTCTGACAAACAAGTTGATTTCCCTAAACACAAGGTTTTGCTGGAGGAACTTAAAGCCTGTAATGCAGTAATGTTAGCCAAAGAAACATCAAACTTCAAGGCTAGCCCAGATCCTAAATTAACTCATACCCCTTCACTAAAGTCCTAGCAGAAGGAAACCCATACC